AATCACGATATTTTAATTGATCGCTAACTCCAAGATAGAAAAATAGTTTAAAACACAGAGGGCATAAGGTTGTTCGTTCTAGTTATTGTTCTGGAAAAAAGTCTTGATTTGTGTTTATTATAGTTTATGTTTTTTTTAAACCACAGAGCAATCCTTTAGAGACAATGTCAAAGTAAAACTACAAAACTGCCAGGATTTGTGAAAGCTAAAGATGCAGACAGAACCATCCATCCATTTTTTTTTTTTTTACCCATCAAGGTCCAGGGGAGCTGGTGCCTGTCTATAGCAGTCACTGTGCTCGAGCCGGGGGGGACACCCTGGTCAGGTCAAGTCCATCATAGTGACACATGGAGACAAAGGACACAAATAAGACAAACAACCACACACTCTCACTCACACATTATCCATCCATCCATTATCTTTAACCCGCTTCTTCCATTTTGGGTCACGGGGGTCGCCGGTGCCCATGTCCAGCAATCACTGTGCGAGGGGCGGGGTACACCCTGGACGGGTCGCAGGTCCATCACAGGGCCACATAGAGCCAAACGAGACAAAAAACCATTCACTCTCTCACTCACACCTAGGGACAATTTAAAGTTACCAATCAGCCTAACATGCATGTTTTTTGGTCTGTGGGAGGAAACCGGAGCACCCGGAGAAAACCCACGCATGCACGGAGAGAACATGCAAACTCCACCCAGAGGAGCCCCTGGACCGGGGTTTGAACCAGGGACCTGTTGATGGAATGAAAACTATAGTTAAAGTTTAGGCATGGCATGATGAGGCAAGAGATGACAACTGTGTAAAAGGAGTGGCTGTAAAATAAAGAGCAAGACTGACTGAGAGAATACAGAAAGAAAGATAACACAAGGAGACAGAACACACGAGATCTCAAAAATAACAACAATAACAAAAGGAACAAACCCAACCAGCACACAAGAACCACAAAACCGCTGATCACAACCTCCCCAATGGTTTTCACGTCAAAGCCATTACATACATAGTTTTTTTTTCCACTTAGGAAACATCTTCCATTTTATTGCAAGTGCTCTTTTATGCATCTGGTTTTAAAATGCCCTAGAAACATTTTAGTGATGCAAAAGGAAGAGTTCCCTCCTCGTCACCTGCGTGACCCTGTAAAGGGAGCATCTTTGGCGTCTGTTTGTTTGTGCGCATGTGTTCCATGTGTGCAAGTGCACTTGTTTATTTTGACATGTAGATGTGCAGCTTCAAAACGCAGGAAGTGGAATTTTCAGGGGGGAAACCTCCACCCACTTCGAGGTGCACACGCACGCGCATGCAACCTTTCAACCAAAGGTGAAAATGTGCCCTGCAAGCACTCAACCTCTCAGCTAACCCTTCCTCCTGATACCTTTCTCGTTCTTACCGACCTTTGCTGATTAAATATGCTTTTTGTCAAACTGTAATTTGAAACGTTAAACCTTTCATTGTTTGATAGAAAAAAAAAAAGTTTCTTTCTTCGCTGGGCTCTATTTTTAGTTCAGGGAGACACACCAAGCATCATATTTCTTTTCAGTGTGAAGATGTGCAAGAGTATATCTCATCCACGCATCACTGGTGGTGTCAGATTATTCTCTGACATTTTCATCATCCTCTCATTTATTCTCCACTTGTGCACTCCTGAAGGAGAAGGCAGTGAAATATACTGAGATAAACACACATTTCTGCACAAATATCTGTGAGAATAAAATGCAAGGTGCAAAGCAGTTCACGGAGAAGCTTGTGTCATCTTTGGTTTCTTTCTGCTTCGTGTTAGATAGGATTTAAGTTTCTTCTAATGAGAAGATAGTCGGGGAAAAATTATGTCCGAGGTGTGTGCAAGGTGTAGGGTGTGAGCTCAGACTGGTTGGTCTGTAACCTTTGATGAAAATGTTTTTGAGAATCACACCCCAAGATCATAGACAGGACAGGAAACATGAGAAAATCAAAGTGTGTTGCATCTGTTGACTTGTTTCTGTTACCAGCAGGCAGGAAAAGGTGCTCTGATATGTGTGCTTCTATTTTATCTGCACTATTAAGTTTGCTCACACATGAGACAATGCAAGCCACAAGTGTATTCATCGTCTTTTTCATGTGCTGAATTACAGCCGTGGTCGTCATCATTCTTATCAGACCAGAAGGTTTTACCATAAGACATGAGAATTTCAGGCATGAGAACGTCTTAATGAGAGTCTGCTACCGTTTGGGGTGGTGAAAGTATCTGTCCATCACAAGGCTTCTACTGATTCTGTTCGCTATTGTTCACTGTGCAAATGCATTAACGCATATTACAGCATTAACACTGTGGTTTTCTTGTTGTTTCTTTTTTTTTTTCATTTTGAAACTTTTATTTGCAATCTAACTACTGCATATTTTGAATTATTTTAGCCATCGATGTACCAAAATGTTTGTTTCAGTCAGGAGATGGGTGTCATGAGTTTTAGTTAACGTTTATACTTTTTCAAAAATCAGCTTTAGCTGCATTTATAAATACTTTCTGTATAGAAAAGCATTGAGATCTCTTTAATTCCTTCAAGTTATGAAACTGTTTTCAGCATACTTGTTCTTTTCTTTTTTCTTATTGTGCTACTTCTACTCTTAAGTTACCTTTCTGCTATACTTTAAACTTAGAGGTTCTTTTAGCAAGCCTTTTGATTATTATAACTATTTTTACAGTTGTGCTTGAAAGTTTGTGAACTCTTTAGAATTTTCAATGTTTTTGCACAAATATGACCTCATCATCAGATTTTCACACACGTCTTAAAAGTGGATAAAGAGAACGCAGTTAAACAAATGAGACAAAAATATTATACTTGGTCATTTTTTTTATTGAGGAAAATGATCCAATACATATTTGTGAGTAGCATAAGTATGTGAACCTTTGCTTCCAGTACCTGGTGTGACCTCCATGTGCAGCAATAACTGCAGCTAAATATTTCTGGTAACTGTTGATCAGTCCTGAACACCGGCTTGGAGGAATGATAGCCCATTCTCCATACAGAACAGCTTCAACTCTGGATGTTGGTGGTTTCCTCACATTAACTACTGCTTCAGGTCCTTCCACAACATCTGGATTGAATCAAGGTCAGGACTTTGACTTGGTCATTCCAAAACATGAATTTTATTCTTCTTGAACCATTCTTTGATGGAACCACTTGTGTGCTTTGTCTTGCAGCATGACCCACCTTCTCTTCAGATTCAGTTCATGGACAGATGTCCTGACATTTTCCTCTATAGTTCTCTGATATAATTCAGAATTCATTGTTGCATCAATGATGGCAAGCTGTCCTGGCCCAGATGCAGCAAAACAGACCCAAACCATGATACTACCACCTCCATGTTTCACAGATGGGATAAGATTCTTATGCAGGAATGCAAAGGTTTCCATTCTCCAAACATAACACTTTTCATTTAAACCAAAAAGTTCTATTTTGGTCTCATCTGTTCACGTCTGTACCATTTGGCTACTATTTGCACTTTGCTATTTCTGGCTTTCAGCTAGCATTTTCTTTTTAGATATTGTTCATTTTGTTCCTTTTAACTTTTAGCTAGTGTTTGGATTTAATTTTTAAGTTTTTTGATGGTGATTTGTGTTTTTCTTTTGATGATTTCTCTAGTTTTACCTCACACAGTTTGAGTCATATAAATAAAAGTTTAAACATTCCTTGTGAGAATTTTCCAATTGTTGATTGTTTAAGATTTCATTAGCTAGAACTCAATAATAAGCTCCTATGAATTAAGTATTTTTATACCATCACCAAAATAAACATTTACAAATTCATAAATAAAATAACTGGACAATAAAATGCGTTGACATTGTATTGCTATGTTTTGTTGGCTGAATCATATAATGCTTTACTGGACAGAGCTAAAAAAGTTAAGTCAGGTCCTCTGGACAGGTCCAAAGGACTAGACTTAACTTTTATAGATTTTTCTACCTGGATTATTGAGCATGCATTAGGATATTTACACACCTTTACAAAGCTATACCATCAGTAGAAAAATGAACACTCTTGCATTTTAACCTGACCTTAAAAAAACTAAATTATCTTTACAATATTTACATTGTTTATATAAACCGACAATTGTAACACACATAATAAAATATAACAAAATTAGCACAAGAATGAAAATTAATAGTTAAAAATCACTGCAACAAACAAAAAGTTAAAAGGATGGTCAAAGAGTTTTGTGAACTTGGTGTTTTAGGAGTCAAGGAATAATTCTCTTTAGAGTAAAAAAACAACAACAACAACAAAAAAAAACCTGGTACATTATATTGTCTAACGCTGACACTTTCAAGGGTGTTTCTTTCTGTACAGATCTAAAAAAGTTAAGTCATGTTCTCTGGATGGGTTCAAAAAACAAATAAAAAAATTGTAGAAATGTTTCATCTTTCATCCGAAAGACTTCTTCAGTCTGAGGAGCTGTATGCAGCTCAGTCTTATAAATAGCACCTTCTCGTGGATCAACCAGGTTGTTGCTGACATTCAAAACTAGCTGTTCAAATGATAAAGGAGGACCATCACCCTAAAAATGGATGTAAACACCATTATGGCTGCTTGCTTGCAGGGGGCTGAGTGATACTAGCAAATTTTTTTTGCACGCGACCAACAAATTCTGGTTGTCAGCAGCAAACTGGTTGGTCCACTATGACAAGGACAGTTTTCTTGCAGGGTTTCATGCTGAAGAAGTCTTTAGGATAAAAATACGAAACGTTTCACAAAGCAGAATCCATCCAGATGACCCTTGTTTGATATTTGTTTATAATTGCTTCTTTCAGCTTTAACAACATAGTTTCAGGTTAATTTACACTAAAAATGTTCTTTTCCCCGTTTCAGTCGTGTTTTAATTTATCATCCGTTCATTTATGTGATTCTGCAAAAAGATTGACCTGGGGTCAGTTTCACACCGTGGCGCTGACCACAACAGGAAGTGACGTCAGCGGAAACTTTAATGTTTTACTTTTTTAAACTTCTTCTTTTTTTTTTTTTTTTTACAGTTTGCAACTTTTTGACAAATAAAGAGACATACGATACTATTTTGCATTAAATATTATATATTTTTGGAGCAGCAAAATCAAACCTGACTTCCATACTTGCTGCTGAACGCTACACACGATAACCTCAATGGCAGCTGTGGCAATGCACATGCCTGTGAGCTGAATAACATTTATACCGGGGACCGAGAGAGGAGGACAAATAGGCAGAAATGTCTCGCCACAGAAATGTTCGAGGTTACAACTACGACGAAGGTAGACAACTTCACCCAGCAGTCGGTTCCTGCTCGAGCGCCGCACCGCTAAACTCTTTAGCCGCTAAGCTAAAGTTAGCAGCTAACGCTAGTTGGTTTAGCAGCCAAAATAAGATGTTGCTGTCGTGTCACTTGGCACCAGAAGAAACTCATGTTACCTCTTACACCAGTATCTGCGTTTATACCGAAGTAAAAAAAAAATCATGTCTGGTTTTAACCTTAAATTAAAAGTTGTAACAAAGCTAATGTTGCTAGAGCTGCTAACAAGCCTGTGTTTAATGATTAGGGCTCTAATTTCATTTTACAGCTTATTTTAATATCCCCCGAATCTACTGAATTAATAAGTCTCACACAGTGTTGCGAACCTTCCGCTGTTAGTAAATTAATTAATCTGTGAGGCTACTTTTGGTTGTGTATTGCTGAAATTGCTGACATGTCAAAGTGACAGCTGTTACAAAGCACTGATGTAAACAAGTATGTTTTTGAGCAAAGTATGAAAAGCACATATTTTATAATCTTGCTTTTTTTTTTTCCTTTTTAGATTTTGAAGACGATGACATGTATGGACAGTCTGTGGATGATGACTACTGTATATCACCAGCAACAGGTTGTTTTTACTGATTGTCATTTTTGTTTAAGTTGTCAATAAAAACCATAGACGGCATTTTAACTTCTCACAGGAAATAGTGTAGTTCCAAGACATGGATAAGACTTTTAAAACAGTATTTTTGTCAGTTTAAATTTCAACATTTCACTGTAGCAATGCCAACAATGTGTCTTATGCACCAAATAGCCACAAAATTGAAAGCCTAACCCTAATGAGAGTAGGCCTTCTTGTGCTGCTTTAAAACAGCTCAAATGTAAATAATGGTATTGATTGCTTCATCTGTCACAGGTTCATATTTTCATTGTGTACTGTTTAACATATTAAGGTGTATGATCAGTGATTAGCGGTAATTAAATACATTTTTGTTTTGTTTTTATAGCCAATCAGTTCATCTATTCACGAAGAGAGAGGCAAGCACCAAAAGAGGAGCCTTTAGAAGAGGAAGAATATGAAGTTGAGGATGTTCCCATGTCTCCTGCAGTTGACCACAACTTTGACCCTCTTGAGCAAGGTAATTTAAAGTCAACTGTGAAATAAATTTTAAAAAGGTTACTAAAATATACATTTATTTTTAATATTTCTGATTAGTTACATTCTGTATAATTCAGTTTAAACATTGTTTTTTTTTTCATTCAGCCTTTATTTAGTTGTTTCAACCTTTATTTAATTTTTATTTAATCGTTATTGTTATCCAACTTGCGCATTTCACTCTTTAGCAAAGCTGTATTCCTGCCTGGACCACATGCGGACTGTGCTGGGAGATGCAATGCCAGACTCGGTCCTGACCCAGGCAGCTGTAAAACATGGCTTTGACCCACAAAGGGCACTGGATGCGGTGCTGTCCGAAGACACCAAAACAGCCCCGGTTACCAGAGGTGCAGATGAACAGATGGCTTCAGTTGGCAAAGTTATTCAAGAGAAGACGCCTCTTCCAGAAAGAACCAAACAGGAGACCATGGCTGAGAAAGGTACGTCTGAAGTGGGTCAGATATGGGCATTTTATTGATCTTAAATTATTCTGATTGATCAGTTGTTGGAACATGTTTATGGATATATTGTGTTTTTGGTTAAGATAGTTATCTTGATCAGTTTTTTCTTAGTTTAGCTACAGGTCAGCTTTAATAAATACATTTCTACTGGGACTTTAGTTTGTTATCTCTCTATTTGCATCACCTGTTTGTGTATTACTAAGATTTCAGTAAAGCATTTACTTGTCAAATATTTAGTCATCAATCATTTTATTCTGAAGATACTCACAAGTGTAACCAGTAAATGTAACTCAGATAATATCCATCAGCTCTGCATCCTCAGGTTCTTATCAAAAAGAAGCATTTCCTGCTTCGTATAGTGACACTTTTACGTCCTGCATATGTTTAACAAAGTGCCTTTTTCCTGTTTTCTTTTTCTTGAACATGTTATGATTCACCACTTCTGCTCCGTGATCATCTTGTCCCTCCTCTTCGACAACCCTACTTGGCTTTCGTAAGGTAAGGAGCCTGCTTGTCTGCTTCTTGCACAGACAGTAATGCATCTAAGACACATAAACATACGCAGCCGACGGTGCGGAACCTGCGTGGCCTTTTATCTCAACACGAGGCTGAGCCTGTGAATGGCAGCTGTGCAAAGCAAAATATTCACCATGAGCAGGCACACCAAGGCATTAGCAGTGGTACCAGTTTGGCTCAGCTCATGTCTCAGCATGAGCAAAAGAGTAAAACAGGAGTAGCTGACTCTGGGAGAAGTTTAAACATTTCTTCATTAAGTACTTTTGCTGCAGACTCTAATTCATCACTGTCATCTTTGTCTAATCAGAACAGTCTTTCTCTCGGAACATTGGCCTCTTTGCAAATCTCTCCACCAGCTGACACATCAGCTCCCTCCATCCTCTCCACTTCGCTTAGTAATCTATCACTAAACAATCCTTCCATAGCTAGCTCTGCTTTAGCTTATCCTCCTGGGTTTGGAAGTCTCAGTTCGATCCTACATAACAGTCAGCTCTCAGTGGCTGTTCCTAAAGGAGGTCCATCACTGGCTGATTTAATTCAGACTCACTCAAACCACAGTGCAGCTTCAAGTAGCTCTCTGCTCACAGCTGGTGGCGGGATAGCTTCTGTTAAGTGTGCTGCAGCCGCGCACACACCTTCACTGTCTGAGCTTGTGTCACAGCATCAGAATGGAAGAATTCCCCCTCAAAGCACCGATAAAGCAGCAAACAGGGCTTCTTCATCAAACACAGCCAGTTTTACTCCTTCGTTTCTTGGTGGTACTGTGTCATTGTCAGAACTAGCCCTGCAGCATCAAACCAGCAGCTCCTTTACCTCCCATCAACCCGACAGCACTGAATCTCAAGCAGATGCACTGAAACGACCACCTGGATTCGGCGAGCTGCTCTCTTCATCACAGCTTACATCTGAACATAAAGGCAAACCCTCAGCCACCTCAAATGGGTCACATTGCACCCTCACGTCGCTTCTTTCACCAGCAAAACCAGAAGGGGCTGGCATGTCGGCAGAAAACACTACACAGGGTGGGACCAAGCGTGAGCTCGACCACAAACCATTTCAGCAAATCTCCAGACCATCTAAGCCAGGTCACACTATTGATTTGAGTGTGCTCATGGCCCAGGCGAGCGGTGACCTCCCCTCACCGTCGTCTCCAACCCCTCCGGCTCCAGGCCAGGCCTCGTCAGTTTTCGCAAAGCCTTCAGTATTTGCAGTTACTTTGTCATTTCAGAGCCACAGTCAACAGAAGAGGAGGAATAAAAACCCAGTGAAGGGAAAACTAAAGGTCCCAAAGACAGAAAGTGCTTACCAGACGTTTTCTAGCAATCTACAGGATAAATCCAAGGAGCACGTTTTTTCTATTGTACCATTTCGCTTTGACTCACCGTCCCCCGACGACATTGTTCGCGCTAATCAGAAGAAGGCTTTCACAAGGTAGATATGAGGAAGTATGTGATTATGCTGGATTATGGTTGGTGCTAAATTAATATTTTTACAATAAAACCTCAGTTATTTTCTCAACTGGACAAAAACTCAACAAAAACAGTACCAATTTCTGCACTGAATAGATTATAAGCCTTTAAATGGCATCCTGTGAACATTTCAGCTGGAGTGAAGAAACCTTCAGGACCAACGATCAAGCCTTGTTCTAATTACTGCAAGTAAAACATTCAGAAACTGTCAAGTATTATTTTTTTTAAAGAAACAGTTAATTTTTACTTAGCGTTACACAAAGAAACAAATGCTACGCTCAGTTAAAATATTTCTTCAGCTTTACTGATCACAGTTATGTAACTTTTGTATAAATACTTGCATTTTAACAACTTTTAGAGAGCTCCCTCTTCATCTGTTCCCCCCTCAGAATTTTAAAATGTAAATCCTATTTTTGTATGATTTGATGCCAGAAGGCTTTTTACTTTTTGTAGGCTTGCAAAGCAGTTAGACGCTAGTCAGCCTGGGGAAAAAAAGTATTTCTATATTTCTTACAACCTCTTTTTCTTGTCTGAGCTGCACAAACTCTTAAGAGGCAAGAAGAGGTCTCTTTTTGTTTGCAGGTGTGCTGCAGCTTTTGGAATATGGATCAGTTAACCATTGTACTGGTTTACTGCTGCTTGAGCTTGAGATCATGAGGTTGACTTTTTTTGGTTTGGAAGACACCTGGAGATTTTCCCATGAGAGAACAACACACACGCACACATGCACGCACGCATGCATGCACACACACACACATCAGATACACATATACATACTCGTACAGACAAAAGGATGCTTTTAAGTGTTTACTAATAAACATTAGATGTGAACAGCCTAATTATGATGTTTATAGGATGAGTCAATATTAATAATGTAAATATAGATTTTCTTATTCAGTGCCAGAGATTAATTTGTTTATTTTGAAATAAAGTTTATAGAAGTTACATACTCTGAATGTCTCTTTAGACATATGTGTTTTTATTTTTCCTTTTGTAATAAAGCAGTTTTTTTTTAGGCTTGTTGTAATAAACTGGTTCTTTGCAGGCACCTAAAAAAAGGAACATTCTTGATTGTTTTTCTGTTCAGATCTTTTGAAATGGGGTTCCTGGCATGTTTATGAACAATTATTTTGGTTGGTTCTTTGAACGACCTCAGTTTGAAGAATTAGTTAATTTTGACCAGATTGATGAGCTAATGGCTAGTCTGAATGGGACCAAAGTGCATTTCCATCATCTTGAAATGCTTCCCATCTTAAAATGATCACACCCTTTCAACTGAACCCCTTCTCTGAAAAAATGTACTATTGCTTTAGGGACGTATTTTCATTTAAAAGTAATTAATCAACTTACATTTTGTTTTGATGTAACAATGAAACTTTTCAGGAAGATTTTGTTTCATAAGTCATTTTCCCTTTGTTATTACTGTTGGTTTAAATGATAATGCTATTAACATTTTTAACATTAAAGAAAGAAATACTTCAGAGATTCAGAGAGATACAGAGATTCTTTATTGTCATTCGCAGCACATGTGGTACATGTGGTGGAATGAAATTATGTACATAGGGTCCCAGTTACATCTAACAATAAAATGTAAAAGAAAAACAGTAATAAGATCTAAGATATGAACTAAGAAAAACATCAGCTACAAATACGCTAAGGACTAATAGCATAAAACAACACAATACGCTGAACAGCAGCATGAACATGAGTCTGTGAGCAGATGAGTATGAATGAACACAGCAACATGAAACAGATCAGCAGTTGGATATTCATGAGTCTAACAGCCTCAGGGTAGAAGCTCTTCCTCAGTCTAGTGGCTCTACACTTAATGCTCCTCAAGGGTAGTGGGGTGAAAAGTGTGTGCTGCGTGAGTGGAGTCCTTCATGATGCAGGTGGCTCTCGTCCTACATCTGGAGGTGTAGATGTCTGTGATGGTGAGGAGACCGACTCCAACAGACTTCATGTTTGAGAAGACAAAGTACTTCAGGATTCAGTAGACAACATTATGCGCAATAACAACTTTACCAAGTTCGTTGTGTGTTCATTTTTTTGATTTTGCTTTAAAACTTTGAATTTTGAACATTATTATGTTCAGTTTTCCTAAACATGAGAATGAATGAAATAGAGTTTGAGGGGAAAAAAAGTCAGGTTGAAGTTAGTTTGGCATGTGTAAACTTTACATAGACGCAGAAATCTGGGTGATCTCGACCCCCGAGGTGTTAAAAGCAGCCTGCTGAGTCTGGAGGAAATGATAAAGGGCAGATCGTGGGAAAAATGACATGTCAGACATTTTCTGTTAATCAGGTTTGTCTCAGCGCAGTGTCACAATGTGATGGCAAAAGTTAGGAAAAGCTACATTTACCGGTATTTGTGTTTTTGAATGAGTGTTTTTCTTTTATAATTTTTTTATTTAGCAATAAGAAAATGAGCTCAATAACGAGGGGGGTGTCCAGCATCTTCTGTCCTTTTGTCTTCAGGCGAGTGAGTGTGGGTTTGAACAGGAAGCTGCAGACTTGGAGAAAATGTCAGTGTGTGACTGCACAGCAGCCGATCATCTTTGCGTGTGTGTGCGCACACGTGCACGTGTGTGTGCACTCTTACTCCACCTACGTAGGAAAATCTGATCATGTCTCTTAACTTTCACAACTTTGTCGAAGGCTGCAACAGATCAAATAGTTTTGTCTTTACAGGCTCTGCATCTGTGCATCGCACACATGTTGCACAAACACTTATTGTTTTAAAATGGTGCCAACACTGGAAAATACCATTTTACTCACATCAAGTGACCAAAAGAAAGCAGGTGCATTCAGACGTGTGTCACTGATGCTGCTGCTTTGTTGTGGTTTATAAAGGGATGGGACAAAAGGCCTAAAGGGGAAAAAGATTTTTCATTTGCATGGAAAGAAGGCACTTTCATATTGTCAGGAAGTGGGAAACTACTTTTGGATTAGGACAAATTAAATCCTACAATTTTTATTATTATTATTGTGACAA